CAGACATTATGGAGGGAATTTTTCATTTTTCATCTTTCTTCCGAAATATCTCTCCATGTTACAATCTATGTGGTTATGATTTATAAATGGTATACTGTACTAATACACAAAGATGGCTATGTTCTATGTGGTAAGGATTTTGAGTTTCATTATCATCAGATAATACATTTAACTCATTATATATGACGAGTATAAAATTTCTCAAAAACTGTATTTTATTGCCTCAGTTATGATAATGGAGGTGTAATGTGTGTAGGTGTGGCCTGGTGTTATGGTGGAGACATGTGATGGTGTATAACCACCTGTATGGACGGTTCCACATGGTTACATAATTAACAGCTGACAGTTTGGTGCAGAGATTCTCTGGTGTTTACATGTTTTATACATTTTCCTGTATTAACTACAGTAAAAAAGTATCCCACAGGAAATACATTGTATATACATTTACACGCACATACGGCTTCACCATGTACTTACATTTAGCCAATACACAGGCAAACGAAACATGCATTTTACAAAGACGATTATTATGATCAATTAAGTCTTACTGAGGATGAATATGATGGATATTTTCTTTCATCAGGTCATGCTTAGAATTGTTGTATATACAGTATATATATTATTATGTGTATATTCATATGCATTAAAGTTAATTGTGCTTAATATTAGTCTGTCTAATCACGGGAAGTTTTGCCAGAATTTAGTCTTTTTTTGTATGTCTAGTTGAAAGTTCATATTTTTATACATTAATCTGTAGATTTGAATTGTCAGATATTGATATATATTTTATTTGATAACTACATAATTATTTACCTATGAGTATGTCTTATCATATTAAATTGAATGTCAGTTTATCAGCCCCAATTCTCACCTGTGTAATGTATGATATACATATATCATTATAGTGATAAACTGGATTTGATTTCTGGCTGTGTGTCTATTGTTTGTTTATGTGAAGTAGGTATCTGATAAAAGTGATCAGTTTTTAAGTGGAGAATCAATAGAATTGTTAGCTGGCAGTGTAGAGACAGATCTGGTCTTAGCCTTGCTGCACGGTAATGGAGGTGATTGATCACTGTGATTGAGATTACCAGACACCACTGCACACACCAATACCTACACATGGTCAGTGATATATAGCAAGCACCTGCTTATCTAGAACACACCTTCACATTAACTTACCATTAATTCACCCAAGTTTCTGACAATACTCCATTCAAGATTTTAGTCTAAAATCCCTCGGGTTTGCTGCTAAAATCTTTGCTAATGCTTAGTGTTACATTTGCCAGTCACTTTTCTCTTGGAACCAATGCATGCTCAAAGACGCTATGACTAATTGGTTTATATGTCAGACATAAGAGCCAAGGGTGTGCATATCATCCCTTGTCTTCTAGCTCCCAGATTCCACCAGTTAGCTTATAATAGGGATGTCCCAGTGTAATGATTTGCGAGTCACTCTGATGAATATCCCAGTGTTTCTTCGTTAATAAGCGAGCTTATTACAGGGTTGTCTCAGTGTAATTGTTTGAGTCACTCTGCTGAAGGGCCAAGTGTCTTACAGTGAGCTTATTACAGGGTTGTCTCAGTTTAATGGTGTGAGTAACTTCAAATGAAGGGCCAAGTGTCCCATAGTGAGCTTATTACAGGGTTGTCTCAGTTTAATGGTGTAAGTCACTCCGATGAAGGGCCAGGTGTCCCATAGTGAGCTTATTACAGGGTTGTCTCAGTTTAATGGTGTGAGTAACTCTGATGAAGGGCCAAGTGTCCCATAGTGAGCTTATTACAGGGTTGTTTCAGTCTGGGTTTTACTGAGACTAGGATTTGCCTAAGTTTACCAAGATCAAGGAATGTCTGGGTTTACTGAGATGAGGAGTGTCTGAGTGTACCGAGATAGGGGGTTTGTCTTGATTAACTGAAATTGAGGATTTTTCTGGGTTTACTGAAAGGAGAATTTGTCTGGGTTTACTGAGACAAGGAATGTCTGGGTTTACTGAGATGAGGAAGGTCTGGGTTTACTTTGACAGGGATTTGTCTGGATTTACTGAAATTGAGGATTTGTCTGGGTTTAGTGAGACAAGGATTTGTCTAGGTTTACTGAAATTGAAGATTTGTCTGGGTTTAGTGAGACAGGGATTTATCTCGGTTTACTTTGACAGGGATCTTTCTGGGTTTACTTTGACAGGGATCTTTCTGGGTTTACTGATATAAGAATTTTTCTGGGTTCACTGAAAAATGGATTGGGCTGGGTTCGCTAAGAAAAGGGTTCGTCTGTGTTAGATCAGACTGGGATTTGTCTGTTAACTGTGACTAAGGTTTAGTAAAGGACTATACTCTGTAGCTTTTTATATCGATGCTTGTTAATTATCAAAAATTGATTCAGATAATCATTTTTAGCTCACCTGCCCGAAGTGCAAGTGAGCTTATGCCGTGGCGCAGCGTCCGGCGTCAAAATGTTTTACTTTAAACAACTTCTTCTCAATAACCAAACGGCCTAGGGTGATGATATTGGGCCTGGGTCAAATGTGTTAAAATCTTCAAACAACTTCTTCTCCATAACCAAACGGCCTAGGGTGATGATATTGGGCCTGTAGCATGCTGGGAAAAAGGGCTACCAAGTTTGTTCAAATGAATGACCTTGACCCACTTTCAAGGTCACAGGGGTCAAATGTGTTAAAATCTTCAAATGCCTTCTTCTCCATAACCAAAAGGCCCAGGGTACTGAAATTGGGTCTGTTGCATAGTGGGATGAAGGGCTATCAAGTTTTTTCAAATGAATGACCTTGACCCACTTTCAAGGTCACTGGGGTCATATGTCTTAAAATCTTCAAATGCCTTCTTCTCAATAACCAAAAGATCCAGGGTACTGAAATTAAGCCTGTTGCATACTAGGATGAAGGGCTACCAAGTTTGTTCAAATAAATGACCTTGACCCACTTTTAAGGTCACAGGGGTCAAATGTCTTAAAATCTTCAAACAACTTCTTTTCAATAATCAAGAGGCCTAGGATGATGGGCCAGTAACATGCTGTACTACCTAGTTTGTTCAAATAAATGACTGACATATAATCAAGGTCACAGGGGTCAAATATGTTTAAATCTTTAAATGACTTGTTCTGTATAACCAAAAGGTCCAGGATACTGATATTTTCCCAGAAGCATGCTGGGTTGGAGGACTATAAACTCTGTTCAACCTAATGTCCTTGTTCGACATTCAAGGTCATATGTATAAATCTTTTAATAGGTTCTTATGAAGCAAACATTGATATTCTGCCTGTAGCTATATTTTAGTCCACTTTTAAGATTACAAGTGTGAAATTAATACCAGGTGAGCGATTCAGGCCCATTGGGTCTCTTGTTCATTGTCCAATTATATAAAGGTTCAGTGATGTTGCATCCGTTTCGGTCCAGTAGAAGTTTGGCAAATAAACATACATTTAGAAATGTAAAAATTCAAGTGACTTTTATAACTTAACAGGTATGTTTATTTCTATGAAATGTAAATGTATTGGGAGTATTTTCTGTATAAATATTGTGCATTATACTGCAGTATTCTCACAGGCCATGTCCAAATACTTACAACACTTAAATAGGATTCTCCCAATCACTGACCCAGGGACCAATGTAAACTTTTCAGCGAATACTCTTTTTATTTCAGATTAACATGAAATTTTGCCCATTTTAAATGAGGATCTTCACCTCTTACAAATGAAAAAATTCAATACCATTATTGATAAGATTTTCTGGGAATCCTTCTTTCCTACCTGTATATGATCTTAATGGCTTTGTTTATCTAACTAAGGTTTTAAATTCATCGTTTTGAAAGTCTCAGAAATAGGCAAAAAATGTTAATGTTGGGGGGATTATTCAAGAAAATCTGTAAATGTAAATGCTTAGAGGGGAAAATTTAAGAGATGAGAGAGTTATTCCTTCAAGGGAGTTTATCCTTAAAAACTGAAGAATTTGGCCTAGAATGGTCCCTGTGGCCTTACATTCTATTAACAAAGTACCCTTTTTTATATCTAAGTTTGAAATGTAGTTCTTAAAATACTAGTTAATTAGAAAATTATCAGAATTCAAGGTGAAACCTGGTAAAATGGGAGATATTTATAACTTATTAATGCAATATTCATTTCTTTCCTAGGATTATTTCTGACTAAGAGATCCAGTATATTTTGGCTTCCTTATTTCTAGCAGACTTCTAAGTGCAGCCAGTTTCTAAGATAGGCCTATTTATCTTCTGTGATGTTGTTACCATTAATATTGTATACAAGTTACACTCGATGAAGGTGTATTCCTATTTATAGCAAGGAGTCTGAGTAAATATTTCCTTACTTTATTAACTTGTCTTGTCTTAGCAATAACAGTTTAATCTATAGCATTATCATGGTGAAACTTGGAACACACCTACCGTAGGTAAAGGTAAATAATTACATACCATAATGATCAGGAAATCTCCTAGACACTAAACATTGCCTGTTAACAAGAAATATCTGTGGTATCTGGTTTCTTCAAAGATACTGTATTGAGACTTATCAAATATTGATGCTTTGTACAGAGCATGATAAAACCTTTCATATTGATTGGATAAGAATTATAAAACAATAGTGCCGCCCTGGGCAGGCACTCTCACTGTTATATAGTTATATATGCTGCTGTGGGTGTTCTAAACTCATTATTGCCTTGTGTTGAAGGCACTTTTTGGCCTCGTTATGTTACCAAGGGAAGAAATAGTGCCTTAAGCAGAAGGCAGGTAATAGGTAATTGATATAACGAGGTTACTGAAACCATAGAGCTCCAGATACAGAACAGATATTTGACCTAACAAGAACATCTGTCCCAAAGTACAATCATTCCTATCTTCAGTTATATCCTAATTTTGTACTTTGTCCCTCATTTATTTGATTTTTCTGCAGTTTTTATAGACTTCCAGATCAAGTCCAGATACCAAGTGTCTTGTTATTGTATTATCCTGCCCCTGATTGCTGGATCCTTTTATTACAGGACCCCGCCCCAGCGCAGGTGGAGGACTGGTGTCTGGTGGACGGGGAAGGGGAGCGCTACAAACTGCCTAAAACCATGCTGTTTATGGGCCGGGAGGAATGTGATATTGTTGTCAGGGTAAGTGTCATTTGTTTTTTCGTTGATGATAGAAGGTTTGTCAATATAATCTGAATTCAGTGTTAGGAGTTCAGGAAATAAGGAAAATATTGTAGAGATACTAACATTATAAACAGTTGTATTTATTCATATGTCTTATTTCACGAATGCTGAACATATATAATGTACTCCACATATACATGTAGTTCTTTGACAACTTACCAGCAGACAAATTTGCCAGATTTCGTTATGGCTGTGAGAGAACAATCCTATTTACCATCAACATGAACCATACCATGTACTATATGTAATATGCCATTGTTGCAATAAAAAACAAAACACTGATGCAGTTGCATGATACCATTGTTTGCTGAGGGGTGATATGGCTGGTCTGTTGTACCCACATGAAGCAGAACACATCCCTGGATGATACCAATCTTTAGTAGATTAAATCCCAGTCTGCTGGTCCCAACACATATAGCAAGGTAGATTGGAACAATACATCAAAAATTATTGTTCAAGAACTCAACAGACTTCTTATTCTATGATAGGAATATAATTTTCTTTGTTTTGGAAACATTTCCCAGTCCCAGGCATTTTTGTAAGATCTTTTTGAGTCTAAAGTTGGAGAGGATGGAGATGATACACATTAGCATACATCATAATATTTTCTACTGTCTATAATGAAATACAGAATGAAGCAAAATGGAGCATTTTTCATGAGAAAATTCTAATTTAAGCCTACAGTATTTTATATATGACCATGCTTGTCTTGATATATGAGGCAAGTTTCAAAATACAGCAAGTATTTACATAAATCGGTCTGAGCTTACATCATGGTTTACACAGTCCTAACAGGCATCTGTGTATATATGTGTATTGTAAATATTTTCATAATGTGGTAATAGAGTTCCGAAAACTAGTGAGAGTTATTTCCCCTTGCCTCTGTGTTCAGAGCACACACCTTATACACTGGCTACCGTGTGTACACAGAGATATTGCTTGAGTCAATGTTTGTGATGGAAACCTGTTTAGCCAGTGACTGAGGACGTCCACATGGTCAGTTAGGGATCTGTCTTCCCCATCATTGACCGGACACTGTACTCCCTTAGCGAGACACCATTCTGTCTGGACACACCCACTGGTGTTCTGTGACTGGAATCATCTGGTAAGCGGGCCTCAAAGATCATGTTTTCCTTCCATGTGGAGAGCCATAACCCATGAAGCTGTAGATCAATGGCCTGTCATATGTGTTATACCAAAGGTTATGTTAGCATAGCAAGGTAATGTGTTGTACCTTTCTTTAGTTTACTTTGGAAAATTCACATTCTGTAAATTGGTTTGGATTATCACCCTCAGGTAAATGTATAAATCAAGTTGATGATTATGTATGTAGGGTTATTCAGGTTGATACACACTGTGTATTGATAGTGGTGTGTATGATGTGTGTATTGATTGGTGAACTCAGGGTATTGGTATATATCAGGCCTACAATACTGGGTAAAGGTCTTCAGGATAAATATGTGGTAATCCTATAGACGATTTGAGACCATTAAGGATGTGTTGAGAAGAGATACAGGTGGAATTATAAGTTCTATCCTTGTACTGTGTTGGGACTGTTGTGATGTACGGACACTGATGTTTTGTGTTGGGATGGTTTGTAGTCCAGTTGTATGCTGTGATGCTCCCTTAGTTCTGTCAGGTGAGTTGACATTTACACCTTATCAGGTGATATCTCACACTGGTAATTGACGTTGATCCCTTTAAATATTTGTAAATCTGTTATCTTTCTGTCCGATCTACAATAGAAACATACTTAGAAATGATAATTTTACGCAATATTCATTGCTTTTCAAATAAAAAGAAAAATTTGATTTAATTAATTCTTTATCTAAATGAAAGCGAAATAAAATAATTTCCATAAGAATACATACATCTGAAGCTATCTTATCTGTGAGGACCTACGTCATTGCGAATGTGTTGTTTACCTGTTTAGATAATATAGAGGACAGCATTATATATATTGTTAATGTTAATTTTATTTGACAAATAAAGCATTCATTGTCAGAAAAGTAATATGGTATCAGGATATAAAACATTTAAATCTGAATTACCTCTTGTGCTAATTCTAAATCTTATATTTCAATCAAATGTGGTAGTTTTCACAAAGGCTGCATTGAAAGTGTTGTTAGTCATCGTCTCCCAGGAGGTGGGAGACAGGCTCTGTGTTACAGTGCCGCTGACTGATCAATGTAGGGGGTGGGAGGGCACCCCAAGTACGTACAAAAGTGTTGATGAATTGTATCACAGGGTAGGTTCTCCTCACCTCCTTAGGCTACAGGGGTAACACAGTAAATTGGTATGTGGTGATTTAATGGTGAAACACTTGGTCCCTGGGTGGACCTGGCCGACAATAATCTACACTGGGGCTTTGTCAGAGGTGTTACCTGACAGTAAGAGGATCTGTGTAAGGTGTCCAAGTAATGTCTACATGTAAAAACCTGTTGACAGCATAACCCTTATGTAAGGTGGTAAATGTAAATCTGTACAAGTATTATACCTGGATGTAAAACGACTCTAAGTTGTGGTGGGTCACCTTGTCTGAGAGTAGTGAATGTCATCTTTAGCCAAAGTGAGAAAACTATAAAAAAAAATCTCATCATTATACCACATCTGAAAACAAAATATTCAGTATTCAGATAAATCTTCTTTCTATTCAGGTTTCATAATACCTTTACTCTAGAGCCTTTTGTTGGTATATGTTTTCAATTTATTCTTAGGCAGGTTTCAAACTGCAATTGAAACAGGATGGCACAAATGTAGCCCCCTTTACCACTCATGCATAGGTCTTGTTGCAAGGGTTTGGTCAACAGTACTAATAGTTACAGGATAAGGAAAATGTAACAGCACGACTGGGGTTCAAACCAAGGCTCTCCAAACTCTAACCAACTGAGCTACCTGGTTTACTGGTAATCACCAAGTTCTGCTACATAATAATGTGAACTTCACAATTTGTATTTTGTATACGAGTGATACTACGACTGGCAAACATCTGACAAAGTTTGTAAAATGGTTTGTTTCCTTTTTAGAATCTAGGTCAGGTAAGAGTTAATTCTGGTGGATATATACTATTTGATGTAGGTCTTATCCCCTAATGATAACCTAACTGTGGCTACCACAATATTAATATAGCTGTACAGTGAACGCCACCCTTACACAAGGGAGCGGTCATATGTTCCACTAACACAACAACCGCAACTCCTTATAGACTTTAACCATTTGTACATGTACGTGGTTGCAGGTTTATGTTTTTTTACCTGAGGATGTTTTCTGTATAGATTGTGATACCTAAACTTAAACAAACATGTAAATGTTTTGGTTTGAATTTCCATTATGATATAAGAGGTTACAAGTGTTGTATGAAGTGTTGTACATACTCCTTGATAGACTTACACTGGATTGTAGGACAGAATGTTTCATTTGGGCGAACAAAGTGGTCGAGGTGGTAGAGCAGAAAGGTTAAGCTTCATTGGCCGGAAGAGTTGGCTCAAGCTTGATGTTAGCACAGAAAATGTTGATGGCCAAAAGATCAGAGCTTGCCAAGACGAGTTGATAAAACAGAAAATTTCATTGACCAAACAAGGTGGTAGAACAGCAAGTTTAATTGGCCAAAAAAAGGCAGTAGGATAGACGTTTTTATAATGAAATGCTTTATGTTTAGAAAGTCGGTTAGTATATGAATAGAAAAGTTGCATTTGATAAATGTGTCGACTCATAGACAAATTTCTGTTGGCAGAACTCGTAAATGTAACAGAAAGCTTTATGAGCAAACATGAGTTTTAGTTCAAAAGAATATCTGAAGACAAATCAGTAGTTGATAAGTTGTTGACAAGTGATATTGTTTAAGGAATAGACTTTCTTTCATCTTTCTTGTTTAAAGAATTAAAAAAACACTAATAGATGTGTTTTAAATGTGTTTTTGGACTAGACCTAAATAAAAGTTGCAAGTTATACCCCCAGACAATTTAAAAAACATTAAATGAAGTTGGAACAAAAAAGTGTTTTTTGTAATAATGAGATAATAAAGAAGATTTCATTTTTGGAACAGAAATCTGACTTCAAAGCTAAAACAAGTGTCAGATACAAAGCATTTGTAGCCATGGAAATAGAAAAGTGATTCCCTTACAACTATTATGATCATAAAGCAATATCAGCTCAAGAAAAAAGTGTGGAGCAAAGTTCATTGTTTACAAATATCAAAACATGAATGTATTCCTCACATAACATTTAATTAATAGCTTTGGAAAGATTGTATCACACAGGTAGACAGGATTGAATATGTGGTAGTTTATGTCTTCATTATTCTACTCAAGTTGTTTGTGTATGTGACCAGATTCTACACTGATAAAGATCTTGAGTTTCAATGTAAGAGTGATCTAACAAATTAAAGTGACCCTTCATACTAAATGAGAATTTCAAGGTTGACCTGACATTCGACTCCCTTCCTAGTTGGAGAATGGTGTTACGCTGTATTGCCTTACAGCACAATTTCTTTAGTTGATATGTAGGATGGAAAATGAATATGGTACATGGTATAACTGTATCGGTGGTGTATCTACAACTTCACTTGGCTAGTGGTATATATTACTTTTGATATTTGAATTTGCATAAGCACTAACAGAAACAAGTGTTGCCATGGGTCTGTTAATTTAAAATTTCAAACTTCCAAATAAAATAAAAGTAGCAGACATTGAGCTACCGTCCCCACAGCTACAACAAGTGAAGATGCCATAGGATAGCATTCATCAAAACCTTACAGAGAATACCATCATTGTGCATTTAAGAAACCATATTTGTACAAGTGAAGAAAAATGGCAGATTACATCCAGTGTTGGTATAAATGTATTGCCTTTGAACTGATAACAGATAGCGACAGTACCTTTAAGCCGTCATTATCATATTGTGATGTTACTATATTTGTATTGTCCAACAGAGTAAGCCCAGAAGTTCCACTAGCACAG